TGCAGCATGTGGCATCAAAATGTACAGGAGCAGAAGCAGAAGGTAGTTTATTAGGAAAGATTGGAAGGGCTTACCCTACCTTGATGTTTAATGGAATAACCATTTAAAGAGTGGAGCCAAATTGACCTTACCTTATTGTTACCTAGCTGTTGATATCAATACTAATTTTTCCAGGAGCCTTATTTTTGCCTTTGAGTAATATGTTTTGGTCTCAGTGGTGGCTTTCATCTTGTTACTAGTGTTGGAAACTTTCTTGTAATAATGTATTTTTTAAAAATCTGTGAATGAATTTCAGTTTTAGATTCTTGGTTCTGTATTAACTGTCACCAAAGGCTTTACTTCCCAGCTCAGTAAGATCTACTTGTATAATAATATAGTGGGTTTATTTGTTTTTAATTTAAAATGTTGTATGTGGCTGTGGATAATTAAAAACATTTCTTGAAATATGGAGGTTTTGACTGCATCATGCTGGAATTGCCTCTGCTGATGGTGAAGAGTTGAATAATACTCATTTGTCACATAGAGTGTTGACTCAGACGCAGATGATTTCAATTCAGATGACAGAGGGTGTTACAAAACCCAGCTATTGACTCTGCTCCTCTTTCTACAAGTTGCTTTCTTTGTGGCAGGGATGGCTGACCTATGAAGCAGTTCTTTGACAGCCACAGTTTGTAGCCTAATTTATGTAAGTGAACCAGTGGTTACTTTAAGTTTTTTTAATGCACTGGGTTGGCAACTCCAAGAGCTTAGGGTCTGCTTCCTGTGTAAATCATTAGTGCTGGTACACTAGTGGCAGTCTTTGGAGAAGAGTGAAGGCCTGGTAGGATGTTTAAGCTGCCTGTATTAATGCATAAATTCTCTGGTTTTGATTCACAGCTAACTTGAGAAAAAAATCTCTGCAGCAGTCTGCCAGCAGTTGCAGAGTAGTTGCAGACAACTGCTGGCAAGACACCTTTTCTTGACTCCAAACAATCTCAAACTAGGGCAATTTTCTCTCAGAGCTTTAGTTGTTAATCAAATTTGGAGAAAAGACTACAAGAAACATTAAAACAGATACTCTTCTTTGAGGTTTCCATTTCAGTGAGATTGGAAGAAGACCATTTACATTTTTTGAAAGAAGTACGTGGTGGACACAATATGAGCAAACAAATTTATTGGCCAGGGCTAATTCTTGTTGAAAAACTCGCTCAGGTGTTAATTAGGAAGCTATTCTGACAAGGCTACCAGGTAGGCTGCTCAGGATGGGTTTGGTTTTGGGTGGTGGCAATGTTGGGAAGGGTGCCAATTTTCCTTGGTTTCCCTTCTTTCCTTTTTAGGATAATACCTTGCTGAGCTCACAAGATAACTCTGAGGATTATGGAATTGGTTTGCTTCTCAGTACAGTCAGGAAAGCTAACACTGATAGCAGTAGGTGAAAGAGACAGCCTTATTTTAATAGGTTAGGATAATCTCAAATTGAGGTTTATTGTTTATTTGTATATAGATATCCATTATGTAAACATTAGATTTTTGCCCTTGAAACAGAGTTATTTTCCCCAGAAGAACTTAATTCTATTTTTGGTTTTGATTATGGCTTTGTATCCTCTCTTTGGGGTTAAAAATAGAATACAGATATCTTCTATCTAATAAACCTGTGGACCAGATGCTTCTCTTGCCCTTTTTCTCCTATAGCAGGATTGAATTCCTTGCACTACAGCAACCCTGAAATCATTACACTGCATTTAAAACAGAATGCAGAAAAGGATGACCTTTCGCTAGGACTCTGTTTTTATTGCTAAACCTGATCACCATCTTACAGCAAAAGCCAGTTTTATTCTTAAACACTTGTACTTATAGTATCTGTTCAGAATTGTCTATTGTTTACTGTCTGTGCTCTCATTGATTATAATGCTGTGCATCTCCACAATGCAGGCTATTTGCCCCTTGGATCTTCATTGTACAAGCAGCTCTTATCTTCCTTGCTGATAGCATATCACCAATGGTACCAGTTAAGAGCTGAAAACACTTCCAGCATAATGGAAAGTTCTACTTTTGCCAGGATGACTCATTAATTAACCTCTGGCACATTCTGCCTGGGATGGAGAGGCTTCCTGTGCCAGCTTAAGAAAAAGTTCCGGGAAGATACTGTTATGTAGCAAAAGATAAACTGATTGGAAGAGTTTTGTCTGCCTTGTAGGAATTATGTTTTCTAATACTATCCATCTGCCTGAAACAAGCTTGGACTCACTGAACAATGGATACTTGGAAATGGTTAACATCTTCCTTTGCTATAGGAGCAAACAGACAACTGCTGAGAAGAACAGGCTTGTAATAGGAGTTTGTGGAGGCAAGCAGTAATTCCAGGAGGCAGTAAATAGCTTTTCCTTCCAACTGACCACAAGCTTTGGCTTTAAATAGGTCACTCTGCAAATGTAGCAACCAAGTGGCCACTTGGGAGAGAAGAAAGAATAGTCTTGGTTTTGGGTGGTGGCGGGGGCTGGGAAGGCTGTTGGGACCATGAAGAGACCAGGGGAGATTGCCCTGCATGACACCCCTCATGTGCCTGTCAGACATTGCTGAAGGTGAGTGGGCAGCTGGAATAAGGTTTCACTGTCCCAGCCTGGTGTGGATGGAATGTCTGTAACTCAGGGCTTCACCAGATTTGTCCTGTGGACTTGAAGGAGTCTTGTGTTACCTTCATAGTGCTGGGGGCACGATTTACTTTTTGTCAAGGAATCTTTGCCAGATCTGTAAGATAAAACTTTGTGTGTCTGTAGCAGACTTGAACTAAGCAGAGTGGTCTGTACGTGGGGATGGATGTGATGGGTGTAAATGTCTCCTGTGAAGAGCTGTAACCCAGCCTAGGCATGAGAAGTGATCTCCACAACTTGAGATTTAACTTTCAGTAGTTTCTGAGATAGAAAGAGCTTTTGCTGCAGAAATCCTTCTCCCTTCAGAAAAGGGAAGCCATAAAAAAAATTATGGAGATGCTTCATTTAAGCTAAAAGCATTGTTTGGACTTGTTCTGTTCACATTTGGGCATTTCAGGCTTGACAACTGTTTACTGAAACACCAAAATGCAGATATTTTTAATATCCAGTGGAGTTGCTTCATTGATTTCCTCTCAGACACACACATGTGCAGGGGTGACTTCTGCTTTTTGCCCCAGTGAGTGGCTGCTTACCCAAAATACAGAAGGTTAGACAGACTCGTTACCTGATTGTTTCTCTTTGGCATGTTAACTCAGTCTGATGTCTGTCTAGGAGGAAAAATGAGTGCTGAGCTATGACAGGCTTTGCAACCATGCAGAGCAAACTGGGGGGCATGGTGCAGAAAGGAATATTACTTTGTACTAGAGACTGCAAACAAAGAGAGATGAGGAGACTATTTTTTTTAAGACAATGATCATGCTAAGTAGAATACAGGTTTAAACCATTTGTTTGCTTGGGAAACTTTATGGTCTAAATTTGACATGGTCTATGGCAAGTAACCAAAGAACTGCCATATGGAGGAATAGCAGCTTGTGTTAAAATCAAACACTTAACAGCTTAGTTTATAAATTTCTGTTGAGCAGTGTCTGCAATTCAGCAGCAGAAAAAGGGTGCTTTGTGGGGAGACTTGACTAAAAAAAGGATGGTGAGATGTCTTTGAGTATTCCTTGCAGGTGCAAAAGGGAAAGGTTGGGAAAAGCTGTTTGTGGTGGGAATAGAGATATAGATCCATATGTAAACAAAACTACTTAGTTTGTTACTCAGTGGTGAAGTGGCTGGTGGAACTGACTAAATCAAATATTTTCAAGATCTTACAAATTTAATGACCAATCTAAGGAAGGTCAAAACAACACTAACCTTTTGTTATTTAAATAAAATAAAATAAAAGTTGGAAAGGAATCTGATTGTCACCTGTAGTTCTTTACATGCTATAGAGTAGATATCAGCAACACTCTGCCGTGTTGTGCTACACTTTTTTTTCCCATCAAGTTGAAGTTTAAGCATTAAAAGAGAAATTATGCAGAATCAAGCTCTGTAGTTTCTCAAAGAAGCAGGATGCTACTGTGATATTCATGGCGCGTTGCCTCTACATCAGCAGCCAGACGTGTCTCCTGCAGACTGCACAGATCACTGGCCACCCCTAATTGGGAGCTGCTCCCTCTCAGGAGGAGTAGCTGCAAATCTCATCCCTGTTACGCACTATTCAAAATCAGTCCACTTTCAACCTTTGCCCAAGAGCTGAAAGGGGCTCACGCCCATTCAAGGGTGACCTGGAGAGCTTTAGGTGACCAATTTAGCTATCCATACAGGAGGAGCTAATAGAAAGTATTTTCAGCTTCTCAATCTTCATGAGGACCCTTCCTGAATCGATTGCTGAGCTTTTGACATCAGCACAGTGATAAGCAGAGAATTGGATCTGGTAATGGCAGAAGATACCAGACATGAAACAGCAAAATCTGAAGAGGTAAAAGGGGAAAATAACAATTTCAAAGTTAATGGAAACGATGTGTCCAAAATAAAGAAGGGTTGGCTGCTTTTGTTTTATGTAAGGCCATCCTCCCCCACCTCCACAATAAAGCACAGGTTGAACAATGAGAAGAATATGTTATGGGAGGGAAAAAGAATGACGGGGGAAATAATAATCACATGTACAGGAAGTAACCAATTAGTATCCCACAATCCTGCTCTTTTAAAGAAGTATTGTCTTTGGTTCTCCGTCTATGGATTCATGGGGAAAAATCCCTGAAATTCTGTTTCATTTTAAGAAACTGGGGAAAATGCTGTTGCTGTTGATTCTCAGTATTTCAAACAAATCATGAGTATTGATATTTTGAATACTTCATGTGGTGACACATGAAATATTGATAAATAAATATAATGTATTAGATCAACCCCTGTGTCTCATCATCAGCTGTGATAAACTCATATTACTGTGTATAAACTCATGAGCTGTTTTTTATTCAGTTGGAATGTATGGGAACAGCTCTTCTCCTGTGTAGAAAACAATTACAAGTCCTTCTGTGTTCACAGGTTTTGAATGCATTCTGAGTCCAAGAAGTATGAGGAAGAGACACCTTCTCTACACTGGGGGATGGATCCTGTATTTTCTGCATTTGCAAGACTCTATATTAAAGATATAAGAGAAATGAGAGAATCTAAACAGGTGCCGGGTATGTATTTGTACATACAGGTTATGATGCACAGAGTATTATAATCAATTTATGCTGTGCTTTTTACTAAAGGATTGCAGAATGCTTCATGAACATCATGTGTGTCTTTGGTTTGGTTTTCATGTTTTGTTTGTGTCTTTTATTTGTATTTTTTTCTGTCCACAGAGACAAGGTACATCTGTTTGTCTCTTCTTGAATATGCTCTGCCTTGTAGGGTTTGTTATTCTTCTTAGTTTTCTTTAACAGCAAGGATAGCAGCAGTGCTATTTTTGCAGAAGTGAAGGACTGGTGGGGTTTTTTTGCTCTTCTCACAACCATTTTTATGTACAAAGGGACTTCACAAACCCCAAACCCCAGTATCTATCTATCTATCTATCTATCTATCTATCTATCTATCTATCTATCTATCTCTTTGTTAGTATCATGGTGGGAGACTTTTGTCTTAAATCCATTGCACGAATTAGGCTACAGACTAATGCTTGTCTTACAGTGAGTATTATTTAGAGGCCATTTTAAACTGTCTTGTAACAGTCTTACAGTAATACTGGTGTAGCAAGTGCATCTGGTAAAAACTGTTATGCTTCAATTAGAGGTATTTTGATTGTTTTCAAACAAAATACAAAACAAATGTCAGCAGAATAGGATTGTGGTTTGGACTTGGACAATTGTACATACACAGGTAAAAATGTATTTAGAATAATTCACCTTATAAACACCAACAAATATTTCCTGATAGCAAGAACAGTCCTACAAAGCACAATACTACTCTCTTTATTTACCTCTAAATTACCTGAATTTCCCTTCTCACTTCTCTTCCTGTTCTTTTACCTAAGTGAGTTGGCTTCTGCTTTAGAAACTCTTCCAGCTTTATTTTCTCTTTTCCCCTAAGATGATCCTAAGGAAGTGGTATCTGTTATGTTGAGATACCAGCCTTTACAATTGGTGCATGTGAGCTTTCTCCACTTCCTGTGCACCTGGCGTTCTGCACATCTGAGCTTGCTTGCAGTCCTGTATAATTTTCTAAACCAAACTTTAAAGAACATAATGAAATTTGATAGAACCAACATCCTGAATTTTTTTTTTATTCTCCTGGTGCTGTGTATATACCAAACCAGATACCTTTCAGCATGTCATATTTGTTAGCAACAAATGATAGCACAACAGAAACACTAAAAAAAAAATATACTTTGGGGAAGGAAGAACGTAGGTGTTTGTTGTCAGTGTTTCCTGCCTTTAATGGGCTTCTAAAGACCAGCTGAAGCGAAGTGTATGATTGGCTATAAATCAGTCATTCAGTAATGGTAATTAAGAATGAATGACTGCAAAACAAAGAGTTGTAACTAGGAGGAATGGAAAGAAATACAGACTGAATGTCAGGAAAAACATCCTTAGAATGGCATCTGCTAAACCATGGAGCAGCCTTCCAAAAAGGAAAAAGGTGGGAGGGATGCCCTTCACTGGGATTGTTTATATCCTGACTGTACAGATTGCCAGGAATTTACTGTATGAAACGGTCTTGTATTGGCCCTGAGGAAATGGACTAAATGACCTAATGAGTTTTTTCTTTCCATTTTTAAGCATTAGGATTTGATGCCACTATGACTAATGCCTTAAAACAACACGGAGGAAAGCAGTAAACCTGGCCAATTACTTTCCTGCTATAAATGGTGACAAAAAGGCTGGAAAACCTCCCAGATAAAAACAGCAATTGTGTTGTCTTAGAGGCCTTGCAATGAGAGTGGGTGTCAAACTCGGTTGTAACACATAATCACATCATGGAAATAAGCTTTTCTCAGAGTTATCATGCACCACTGCATTGTGACAGCTTATCAACAAGAGAGGGAAGCTACAAATAGCATAAAAGGAGGTAATAATAATTAAAGCAGTGTCAAACGGCTCAGTGCTCAGTAATGCTGGTAAAGACATGACCAGCACTTGCCCTAGAGAGCTCTGTATCTATAGCCCCTTGTACCCCTGCTGTGGCTTCCTGTTGTGGTAAGAGCCTAGTGCTGTATGTGCTGTTTACTGGGTTATTAGGAGCCTCAAAAAACATGTTTGTCCGTAGATTCAAATGTTTGGTATATTTTCATTGCTGCCAATGTGGACGTAATTTGAACAAATAAGCTGGTAGGAGAACCAATTTATACCTTGAAGTCATCGAGTCCAACACCTTTTAATCGGTTGAATATAATTTCATCTTTCACATTAATTTGAGTAGTTTCTTGGAGAGTAAGGGTGGAGTTCTATGTGAATTTATGGGGATGGAGAGAACCAGTTTTGTTCAGTCTCTGTCATTTGCTAAAACTCAGCTTACTAACTGGGAAATGAACATAATAACATGTTGCTTCTTTGCATAATCAAGAGCTCGGAGTCTCTGCTCTACAGACTTACCCTGAAACCAGCCCAGACCTTTTATTGAGACGTTGTAAGATTCAGTGAATAACTATGTGCACTGGGAGCATCTCCGTTGAGGGTTTCTATAGCAGTGTCCTGGTAGATGAGAGAGAAGTGGACAGACCTGCCAGACATTCTCTGTGCCTGACCTGACCCATGACTGCATGATTAGTACAGCCAAATCTACGATGAGAGTGATAAATGCACCCTCAAAACATTGCAATGGATTTTCATGTGCAAAACTTCTGCTTATGATCTGCTTGGCTGATCACCTGTGATTTCTTCTGAAGCTTTTGGATTTTCTCTCTGTCTTGCATGAAGAAAGTTAATTTCAAGCTCACTTAAGGCTGCGAGCTATGTAGGACAAGTTATTTTTGGATTTTGGTTTTGGGTTATTTTTTTTTTTTTTAATCCAGAACATTTTTCTGACTCCCTTGCTGCCTTGTTTCTCTTTTCCTTTGTAAGAATAACACTTGCCACAGTGTATGGAGCCAAATGTTCCCTTCGGAGTCCCTCGAGTTATCTAGTTTTCAGAAGACAGTTATTGAACATCCCAGATGGCATACTTCAGTAAAGCAGCAGTATTCAAAAAATACTGCTGGAGAAAACGCACTCACTGAAAACTAGCCAGCCCAGGGCATATTTGGAGCTTCTTGCCCTATTATCCTCCTGATAGTGCACTGTGAAGCCTCAGCGTATAATGTTTACATTGGTGTTTGTTAACAACATTCGTCACTCTCTTGAAAGGGATTACAGAATGAGGCAACCTCAGTGCTGTCAGAGTCCACTGGGCTCTGATTTCTCACTGTTTCCTGGACATGTTTCTATGTGTTATTCAAGTTATCTTTATAGATGCACAAAAATAGCTTTGAAGGGATGTTTTTAGAACATCTTTTTTTGAAAAACTGAAGTTCAGGATGCAGTCCACAATGACTGCAATAGTGTACTCCTCAGTCTGAGAGGGTTGTTGCTCTCACCCTGCCCCCATGGCTCCTGTTCTTCTAGAAATGAAAGACAGAATTATGTTAGTTTTCCTTTCGGAGGCTCTGCCTTAATCAGGAACAGCTGCATTGTGAGAAGCTCAAACTGCTTCCTTTGTGTTCTATTATTTATTCTGAAGCCTCATGAAGATAAAAAAAAAAAAAATTCAAAACCAACAAACAAACAACAAAGCAAAGCAAAACAAAACAAAAACCCAAATGAAACAACAAAACAAACAAACAAAAAAAAAACCCTAATGCCTGCAGCTGTTTTTCAGATCCAAAGAAAACAAGAGGTTAATGAAGTTCTGACACTCTACAAAAGCAAGCTTTTGGTGTCCCAAGTGGAGCTGATACTTTTTCCTTTTAGTGTTCCTACTCTTTCAGTGTCCAGGGGATTTTTCCTGTGTAGGCATTGTATAATATCAGATATATTAAATATGTAAAAAATGATGGGGTTTTGCTGATAAATGTGACTGTGTAGGGTAGGATGTTGAAAGAAATAGTTACACTAATCAAGCATGTTTTATGTCTAGGTATATTCTTTTATAATGGACATCCAATAAGACAGGTGGATGTTGTTGGGGTAGTGGTTCAAAAGAAGGAGCGAGATGCCTTTTATAATTATGGAGGTAAGAAAAGTTTCTTTTCTTTCTTCTTGCAGTTATCAGCCTTCTAATCTTAGTTATTGTTAGAACTGAAAGGCTTCCTTGTTTGATCATTTTCTTTTCTTGAAACAACTGTGCTCTTATCCTAATACAATGTATATCTGCAGCTCAGATTACTTGGCAAATTTAGGGAAGCTACTGTTTATCTTCACTTCGAAAGTAGAGAATCAAATAGTTACAGCAGAGTAACTGATTCATTTGGGGTCATGTAGGAAATCTTAATTTTGGTTGTTGCTTTGTCACTGGACTCCACCACTTTCCTCTCATATATATGAAGTTCCTTTGGTGAGGTAAAAACGGATTTAACAGTGCCTGCAAATGGGAAATCACTTCTTCCTCTTTTGAACCTTAGAAATCCCTTCTGACTTGTTGTATGTTTTGTCGTATCTTGGAGGCAGCTTTTAATAGCTTTTTAATAGCAGTCAGGAGCTTGTTTATGTTTAGATGCACAAGAGTCTTAGCAAATCTAACTCAAGCATCATAGTACCAGTCCTTGCCAACACCAGCTGGGAGTTGTCTCCTCCCTATTGCTTTTCCCAGTATTCAGACAGTTTTATTAACATGGAAACATCTGATTGTCATTTTGTTCAGCTGCCTTTTTCATCTGGAAAGAAAAGCAGAGTGGAGTAGTGGTGATGTGGCAAGCTTCAAAAGGTGGGGGGAGGTCACCTCTCAGTGGGAAGGGGAGCCAAATGCACAGATCCTATCGAAGCCCTTGTGCCCAGTGTTTTCCTCTGCCACGGGTTTCCACCTGACGGTGGTAAGTCATGGAGTGCCTCTTCTTCCAAATTTCCTTGCTTATAAAATTGAGTCAGCAGCAGTTCCCTGGCACACAGGAGTATTGTGAAGATACAGTTGACGACTTAGCCAGGTCCCAGGTTCCACAACACCTGCAGTTGCATCATACTGCTGCTGGTGCATACAACATACCCTGCACAGGATGCAGCTGCTCAGAGTTGACTCTGTGCTCTCCTTTCAAGTGTCTTAGAGTGAGTATTTTCTAGATTTTGGGTTTTTAAGTCTAATTTCTGAGTGTTTGTTATTGCCTCACTGTAATGCTAAATAATAAGTTGTCAGTAAATATTTTGAAGAACAAAATTCTGGCACTTGAAGTGGCACAGGGTAAACAAATGCCTAAGTTAAGAGATGGAGACATAATTGATGTAATGAAGTGTTGAAACATAAACTGAACTTCATCTATTATTCTTTTATTGCACTAGTATGCAAATACAGTTATCACTTCATGAGAACAGAGGAAGACAGAATCAAAATGACCAAGGCAAAACAATTCTATGGGCAAAGGTTTTCCGCGCTGCCCTCAGCATTTGTTTAACAAGTAATCCTGTTGAAAATGTTTGACTGGGGCAGAAAATGGACAAATAGAAATAAAAAGAAACTGCAGAGTGCTGGAAGTGAGGCCTTAGTGTCAGATCAGCCAACCTTTAAGTGCAGCTCTCAGTGAGCCTGGCTCCCTGCTGTCCTTTCTCATCCAACTCCACGCTTTGTTCCAGCAGTTCCTGGTTTGAGTTTCAGGCTACCTGCCAGGGTGCCCCTCCCCAGCCCGCCCTCCCTTTCAGTCAGGCCAACTCCACCAGTGTAAAATTTTAACTTCTTAGACAGTTTCCTGCTTGTAACTTCTTGCATTTCTCAGTTCAAGGCTCTGGTTGGTGAGTCATGGATCGGGCGTTGCATCAGTTGGAGTGCCACACACTGCTCAAGGCTTGCTCTCTTTCCGTCTGCTTAAAAGTGACTTACAAAGCAATTCTCCCTTTGTACTTTCTCTCTGATAGGGAACTGAAATGTCTTTGTGTCACTGCCACTATACCCCCTCACCCCCCATTTCCTATCTGTCTGCTTCAGAATACACACTGCTCACTTTAAAGAATCTTAGGTCCTCTCTGCTGAAAACCAGAACTGCTGATAAAACAATAATTGTAAAAGGGAGTGAACTGACTCTTTCCTGTCTGACACAGCATGTAACTTTTATTTTTTAAAACCTGATTTTGACATTTTTATGTGATTGTTTATTGCTATTATTATGATCACCTAGGAGAAGAATATCTAATTAAAATGTAGCTTTGACTAAGCTCATATTTTAGCTAATGCACCTTTCTGACCTCTTTTTTTCCTCCTTTCCTTTCTAACAAAATCAAAGATCACATATGGTTTTCCTTGTACTCCAGAACCTAATTGAAAGGATAAAAAGCGCTTGCCATAATAACAAATGAAAAAAAAAATCTTACCAGGATCTCAGTAGGTTCTGGCAGGCCTTACAAGAACCATACCCTTTTTGTCATAAAGTAATAAAAATGAATGCAATTATCTCATTTAAAGTAGCTTTGAGAGTACTACCCCTCAAGTAGTTAAGTAAGAGTCAAAAAACCCCAAAGCCAAACGAACAAAGAAACAGGGAAGTGGGGGGAGAAGCAAACTCACAAAAAAACCAAATAAACAAAACTTTAAACCCAAAGAGATGAGGAAGGTGGCACAGGGAGCACAGGAAGCTTTCAAAAGCTTGTAGACCCTTTGAGTGCATTTAAAATAGATTAACATTTTCCTGTCTAATTAGAATACAATTGCAAGAGTTCTCATTCATCTGTGCTTCAGGAGTTACTTGTCTTTTTGCTCAAAGCTTTTGTCTATGAATGGGTGAACTTTGTTTCAGAGCCTTGCTCTGCTCTCAGATTCCCTGTGTGGTCACGTACAGGTCAATCTCTCCAGGACTTCAATTTCAGCTGTTACATTAAGGAGGAGGAGTGTGGCCTCCTAATCCTTCAGTCTTGTTTGGTTTGTTTCCAAGCCCTTCTTAGGAAGTGTGTTTCAGTTGGTGCAACAGCCAGTCAAGAGCTGGAACATGTAGAAGCTTTAGGAATGTAATAGTGAAATGTCATCTGCCCTGTTTCTCGTTGCCCTTGCTGGCTTGCGTGGATGGCTTGGCATGGTTTATGTAGGTTCTGACTGCTAAAATAGTTGCTGTCTGTCTATACCAAGGAGAGGAAATCCTACCAGTTAGATTGTTATCTGTGCTCTGGTACAAAGTTAAAGCTGCTGAAATAGTTGCAGACACAGCAGCTCAAAAGGGGAATAGAAAAGATGAGCATACTTTTGTGGTGGAGTTTGGAATTGCATGCATCTTGTAAATGTTATATGTTTGCTAATAGTAATGTGCAGCTAAACTACTGGGAAACAGGAAGGCAAGACAATAATTTGAAATTAGACCCCCCTAAATAGGGAGATTGTTTCAAAACACGTGAGACAATGCAAAGGCATTTTGCTTTGACACTATGGTTCCTGGAGGAAGTGACTGCAGGTACCAATCAGCACCTTCCTGGTAAACATTGATGTTACTTTTTTAATCATGGATGTGGTTTAAGGAGCAGAAGAAAATTGCAGGTTTCCATTTGTGAAGAGTGGAATCTGAGTATTGGAGATGATTACATTCAAGAAGCAAGGTTGCTTGGAGCATTGGCTGGATGATCCCTCACAGACATTTGGTGCCTTTCTGTATAGAAAGTGTTTGGTGGACAGGCCTTCTATATACAGTCTCTTGATCTGTAGAACAACTGATTCTTCTGACAGTTTTTAGTTTCCTTTGGATTTTTTTTTTCTGCTGTTCATTGACAATGCAGTGCCTGGGGCAGAAATCATAAAACTTATTTTGGTTGGGTACTGGTAAAACAGGAAAAACTAGACAGCTCCCGTGCTCGGGGAGAAGGTGTTGGGCTCTTTCTGCAGCGGAAGTGGCATGCATGCCACCACTACCTATCCTTTAAGTTGGGAATTCCTGGCCTAGAGCAGAACCATGAGCATGTGCTGTCTTCTGTCCTTCCTGGCTAGAGGAGCTGCCTTTCTGCTCCTCGGGCATCATCTTGTACAAACACAACATTAAGATGGAAGATTGTGCAGCAGCACTTCCGGTTTATTCACATGGTTGTATCCCCCACTGGTAAAATGTTGTTTTCTCACTGTAACAGTGATGCTTCTGTGGTTTGTTCCTGGCTTCCTGTTTTAATTTGTCTGACTCTGGCTTTCAACACCGATTCTTCTCTGACCTTGTCAGTGAGATTAAAACCCTTTAATATTCAATATATATGTTGAAGCCTCATCATTTAAATTAGTGCTTGATCTTTCCTTGAGAATATTCCTGTTACTTTGGTGACCATGCACATAAACACATCTCGTGCTGAGCTACTTCCATGACTGAAATTACTGTGGAAATTATTTCAGAGGTATAAGTAGGATTTGGACACTCACTTTCCCTTTCAAACTGGTTGGGCTGAGATTTCCTTGGCAGTTATCTCCCTACACATCTATGTATCTTTACTTCCCCAAACATGTCTACCTGCTTTCCTACTCTGTAATTCTTGATTTTCTTTTTTTTTTTTCTGCAGTGGATGATAGCACTGGAGTTATAAATTGTGTCTGCTGGAAAAATCCCATGGTAGCAGAAACACCTTTATCAGGTAATTTATCAAATAAATAATTCCTCTTTCGACCATGCATTTTTACCTACCTGTGTCTTACATAATTTTGTAAGTGATCAAACTTGCAGAAGAGCAAATTCAACTATTCAATTTTTTTTATTTATTTTAAACCGTCACATCCTACAACCTGGGCCACTTCAGGACTTTTGTGTTAGTTTTTGTGTTGTATTCAATGGTGATGCCAATAAAACCATTACATTATGTCCTGCCCTGCCTTTTCCTTATCTGAGTAATATGATATTTAAATTCTATGCTGTGACATTGTTCAAAGAATTCTCTTCTTAATTCTTTTCATGACTTCATCTCGTGAGAAACTAGGCTGGAAATGTGCCGCAACTTCTGTTTCCAAAGTCAATCCATTGACCTTCACTTGTGATACAGTGGTTTCAGGATTAATCCTCCCTTTGTATTCATATTCTCCTGCTCACACATACATTGTCAGCAATGAACTTGAAAGTAGCTTAAAACACAGTGGGAGGATGCCAGCAGTCTTTTACAATTTGGGAAAGTCCTAAATGTGCAGTAACTGTGCATTCGAAATGAATCTATTGTTGCACTCACTAACAGAACTCAACAGTTTCTGAGTTTCTCTTTGCTTTTTCTCCCACTGTTTCTTACAGATCAAAGTATGAAATGTTTTCTACTTTGCATCTTTTTGGAAGCCCATGTAGTGGATTGACAACCCTAATATGGAGCTGATCAAATCCTAGTGAAATAAATGTTACTAGTGGTTGTCTGCAGTGTTAGAGATACATATGCAAAGAATGGAGAAAGGAAAGCTTGATGTAGAATTTAAAAACTCTGATGTCTGTGGAACAAGCCCATTTATACAGACAGATAATTCATACTTATATTTAACAATGATATGACAAGTGACACAAACAATCCCAACTGGAATCTAGAAGACAGCTCTCACTTTAGAGAGGTTATGTTCTGGCACAACTTTCCAGAAAAAAAAAATAAATAAAATAGGGGAGACACAATGAAATTTTCTTATGAGGAACTTAAATTCATTAAAAGGAATTGCATGAAATACTGCCTGAAATAGAATGAGAGCCCAGATTGCTTGTTTCAGCTTTGTGTTCTTATTTTACAAGTACATCAGTAGTGTTTGGATGGACACTATGTTAATAATGGAAACTGATTCATTTGTACCTGCTAAAGAAAGTTCCTAGGTGGCACAGGAAACTTTCTTCCAGCCTTTTGTAATTGTGATTGGGGATCCTTGGATCATTAATCAGGTTTTAAGTTATGAAGGAGTTACTCTCTTGCAAAGGTGAGTTACGTAAATGTGAAGTTCTGTCAAGTTGCTCCACCTCAGTGTAGACATCGAATTGCATCACATGAATGGTTTGGCCCCACCTCAGATGACTCATTTGCCTTTTATATGAAAAATCCAGCAGACCTTTCTTTCCCCTCTCGTCCTCTTAACGTGACAAAGTCAAAAAATGACAAAGCCCATTATTTATTCAATTAACGATGCAATTTTGCAACCCATCTATGACATTTTCAGTGGTAAATCAGTATCTCCTCCCTTCTATACTTTCCCCAGGTGAAGTATTTAAATAAATATAGTAATGTAAACTAACTTTGTCACCAAAAAGTTTTACTACCCAGGTCACATAGTGCCTGGGACCTTACCCCTTTTTGAGTAATATGGCTCCTGTGATGCATAGGTGGATGAATGCAAAAGAACAGTCCTCTTGACTTTAATACCTGATCCCCTTTCCCTCACTGCTTGCAGGTCATCCAAGCACACCCAGCAGTCTTACTGTGTTTGAACAGATGAAGAAACTCCAAGAAATAGTGAGCCAGAAAACCAAGCTGGAGATTGGGGATGTTGTCAGGGTCAGAGGTCACATCCGAACCTACAGGCAACAAAGGGAAATTCAGGCTTCAAGTTTCTGTGAGTGTTATGAACCAGGGATATATGTAACTCAGTTGTCTGAATCTTTGAAACTATCTATGCTGTATGTAATTAACTGAATATTTTCCACTTTATTTTCTGGCATCTCATTTTTCTAAAGAGATTTTCATCTGTAAATCTTTATTTCAGTTTGAGCAGTGTAAGATTAGAAGACACACCACTTAATGTGTGGGATTAGATTGCCTGTAAATAAGGCATTCCTGGAAAAACTATAAAAGATGATTAACGTGCTTACAAGAATGCTATGCAGATACTGTGGTTGGATATCTGTGAGAGTGACTTGCTCTGTGTTGAAGCAGCCCAGCCAAGCCCATGGGAGAGGGGCTGGTGACCTGTCATGTCCCAATTCATCCAGTTATGCTTTGGGGAAGTGTCTGCTGCTTGTCGCAGCCTGCACAATCCATTCTGAGTGCAGCAGCAGCACAAGGGCAGTGTTCCACTGAAGCTTGGGTTCTCCTGAGCTCCCTGGCTCTGCAGGATGACTCAGTCACCTTCAGTCACCCGGGCACAGATCTGCATGCAGGTGCTGCCTCCGTATCTGACAGCTCTTTGGGCAGCAGGGCTCTGCAGTCCACTGCTTACACCCTGGGAGCTTCCAGTTACATAACTTCTTCTCTGTTCTGCATCTGTGCTCTTGTGTAAGAGTTGGTTTTCCCCAGTGAAATCTTTCAGAGGTAATAGTAGAATTATTTCTTTGGTGGGGAGAAGCCTGTCTTTTAAAAACCCTTGTAAATTGGATTAAAAGTCTAGATTTTTCAGCTCTAGCTAAAATTTGCAAGGGAATTCAATCCTCTTTTCCAGACAGAAGATTTATGAATATATACAACCCATTCAGGGGCTGGTAATAATAACAGAGAGAGCCATGCAATCGAATAGTCTCTAAATTGCTTTCACTTTGGCCCAAATAAAGCTCCTTACTATGTGTTAACTTCATTTAATGGATGAAGACTGTAGAAAGGTAAAACAGAGATCATAAATTCTGGTTAAATAAGTTGTCAGACAAAAGCATGATCTACAATGCACCACAACAGATGATTTACCTCCAAGTAAACTATAAAAGAAGGAGTGGCCTTTGTGGTTTTGTTTTCATAAAAACAATCGTGAACAACATTTGCCAGCTTAATACAGGCTGTGAAGCTCTGTTGTGCTGCCTCAGGTTTGCTTGCATAAAAAAATTGGTAGAGCAGTCCTGGCCATGTCTGTGTGTTCTTTTTGCTCCTCCAGATAAAGTCGATGATCCTTTGTATGAGATTCAGATTTCAAGAATGCTGGAGCTCCCCTGTCTCTATAGAGAAGTTTATGATAAACCTTTCCAAGGCCCTGAGGAAGGACAGAGGTAAATGTGGTATCCAGCCTGGTCTTTGGGTAAAGTGTGGAATTTTACAATTTTGGTTTTTTGTTGTTGTAATAACTGTGGAGAAAGACAGAACAGGGCCCAACTCTGATTTAGACTCTGTATAAACATACAGTAGCAGCCTGCTTTTCTCCCAAATGATTGCTTGTCATCATCAAATCCCAAATACATGACCTCAATAAACTGAATCAAACACCCATTTCTGTATCCAGTTTAAGGGTAGCTGAATGCTCGTTGGGAGGTCTGATGCCTGTAGTGTGGTTTCAGAGACTGCAGATCTTAAAATCACAAAACTGTTATAGCAAATTATTGAAGAGGAACAATTGAATGTTTATTCATCTAAAAATGTTCTGATTTAATTAAGAATTCAAGATAAAATTCTTTAAGAACAATAAAATATCTTTTGACCTTTGAAACCAGTCTAGTGGGCTGACTCTAGGTAATTGCTCTAAAACCCATTTCTTGCCTTTTGACATGTTCTCTGTATCCTTGTAGTGGCCTGGAGGGTCAGAATTTCTCAATCCATATGCTGCATGAGAAAGTGCAAAGCTTTCTATTAGAAAACAAAATTCAGACCTTTTACCAGCAGGAGCTGGAAACAATTGATTCTCTAGTGTCACTGGCAGATGTGCATCTACCCAGTCCCAGCTGTCAGGAGGTGAGTGAATGTACCTGTCTAAAGTTTTGGGTGAGGGGAAATAATACCATGTCCATTTTTTTAAGCATAAGCAAATAGTTAAGAGACAGATATCTTCAGAGGATTCAAAACCCACAAGGGCTTTAGCTTTATGCATGAATTGTTTACAGAGCTTGAGGAAATCTTGTCACTTTAGACGTATAAAACTGGGCTGAACAAAGCCATGTAAGGACATTCAGTTATTAGGGGTAATCTTGTGTTAGGGCTGAGCAACCCTACAGGCTGCAACAGGCACTACCTAATTTAGATTTGTAAATAGTGCCAGTGCCAGAAAAGGAGATGACTTTAAGGTCCTTGAGCTGTTAGGGACAGATGCTTGAGATCCTGAATTTGATCAGGAGAGAAGGGAGCACAAAGCCTTTGTCTTGTTTCTCATTTGAAGCTCAATACATTAATAAAGATGTAGCTTTCAAAAGGAGATTATGATGAGTGGATGAACAGTGCTCACTGTTATATGTTTCTCGTGTTGGAAATCCTGAGTTGTGAAAGGTTACGATTGAAAGCATCAGAAGATAGGATTAAAGGGAAATCAGTTTACAGATGTAAACAAACTGTTAAGAAATTTTCCAGTGAGTTACTATGCTCTTGATCAACTGCAGAATGGGAAATAGAACAAAAACCATTTTGTATAATGGTTTTATATTGCTCTGTGTTAGTTGGATAAATTACAAACCAGATTCTCAGCTGGTGTGGTAGATTTCTACAAAACTAATGGTTACACCTTTTGCCAAGATAGCAGTGGCAGCTGAAACTTAAACTGGAGTGTTGTGACTCACTTGTTTACTTTTCAGTCTTCTGTGGAGAAATAAATCCTCAGCAGTCGTTTTCTCCACCTGGTTTTAATGTGCACTATAATGTTAAGTGCTATGTTATGTTATGCTGATTGCTGATGTTGGTTTAATTCTTAAAAAAACCCCAAACAAAGCAACACAAAAACCAGTCCTTTGGAGATGAGGTCAAATGACAATTAAGAGTAGCTCTATTCTTGTCAGCCTCATTGAACTTCTGATAGCTGCTTCTTCATAGCTGAGTTGGGTGGTTTTTTGTTTTTGTTTAAGCCACTTTTTGTTTGTTTTGAAGCAAACATGGCTATTAACGCTAGCAGGAGCTATTCTCATTTTTGACAGAAAAGTATGATACTACAATATCCAACATGGGACAGGGTACTTCCTAAACTAGCTGGAACAGAATCACAAGTTCCCAAACACTTTACATTAAAGGAAGTAGTGGTCATTGTGACCAATACTGGAAAATTCCATCTTAGAAATTTCAGCATTTACAGAAAGATCAAGATAAATAACTGTGCAAAACCATTTAAAGTAGGAACTGGTGCAGAACAAACATAGAAAGGCTCAGAAGAAAACCCAAAAACTCCACAAAACCCAAACCAAACAAAATCCCAATCAACCAAATCACCCCACCAGAAAACCCACACCAAGAAAAGCAATATAGCATCAGTGTTGTTAGCAGTCACGAAGAGCTATCAAAATAATTAATAGTTATTCCTGACCCTCATGCAAGGGTGTGAGTGTATGTCCCAGGAATTTGGGCACACAGATGCTTATTTAGAAATTGCAGTTCTCTCTGTTGCCCTTTGGTATTAATTTCTTGCAAAGAGGCTTATCTGTCTTTGCATAAGAAAGGACTGCAGTTGTCAAGTGGCCCGAGTGCCTTAAGAGGAGTGCCCAGTAATGCTCTGGAAATGCATTTTGTTCTTCCTTTAATCTGTCTCTAGAAAGTGTCACTTCTCATAATTGGCAAAGGGTCAAGTACCCAGTTCAATCCATGAAAATGAGTGTAATAGATCTGATTCCTGTCCCTCTTCCTTTCTTTTCCCTTCTGTAGTGTTTTGTTTGGCATTGCTCTCAAACCAAAAGGATAAATGGTGTTGCTGATGTGGAACAGTGATATTTCATGCCTAATTGGCAAGGCAGCAGCTAGATGGGTGGACTGAACCAATCAGGCCACACCACAATATGCAACTTGTTCACTTCTTGCACTTTACCTGGATGTGAAAGGATGAGTTATTTGGATGTCTAACCTTAATATTTTTTTACCCCAATTCCAGTGTTCTAGAGCACAGTTACTCTTAAACTATTTGTTGCCTTTCTCTTCCTTTCCTTGTGATCCTAGTAGATGTAGTGCAGCCCCTTCATCTCTTTGCCAACTTTTAAAGTACTTGCACAGTGTTCATCGTAGGGTATGAAGAGGGAGGGTATCTCCCCATGGAATATTTTCTCCAGGGAGGTGGTGAGCTGCTGTGGAGTCACCCGCAGCGGAGTGGAGCAGGGAGCGAAGATGGAAGGAGGTAGCTGGGATAGCTTGAGGTAGGCAGCATCTCTGTGTTCCTTTTCAGCATTACTGTGTCTGAGCCCTGTCCACATCCCATACGTGTCCTACAATACCTACTTCCAGTCTTAATGGTTCCCCACCAGTGCAGTCTTCTGGCTCTCCAGAATAAGTTTCCCTCTAACAGGTGCACATGGCAGAACTCAAATCATGTCCCTTTCTCAGATAGATACTAGGGAAAATTTAGCTTTATAGTCTACAGAGGTTGGATAAGAGAATTGAAAGGCCTGGTGTTTCTAAAAATTGTTAAAAATTAACAAATCTGTTACAATCTTTAAAGTCAATGGAGCTTTATTTTGCATAACTAGTGCCCTGTCTATCCCTAAGCTGTAGCCTTTTCCTTATCCCTTAAAATAAATGACTTTTGAGACTGGAGGGGTGGGTACCAGAAGGAAGACTACAAGCAAAACCAGAAAAAGTAATTTAGAGCTTAGAGAACCTCCAGAGTGTACTTGCTGGACTTAGGCAATTATGTTTGTCAAATGGACAAACCTTTGGTTCCTTTCTTGAAGAAAGAACTGGACCCAACTTTTATGAACTGGACCCATCCAGTTTCTCAACTGAGTTAAATATTTGCAACCAGCCAGTCTTGATTAGCCATTTTTATACACTTCTTTCATGCATAAGCTATGGCATGTGCTGTTTTGGTGTTACCATCCCAGTTTGGGTATGGCACTTGGACACATAACTTGGGTTGTGCTTTCGAGACTGTGCTGTTTGCACTTCTCTTGATTTGAATATTATCTCAGGGTCAGCAATGCCAAGTAGTTAAAGCAGGGAGTTGAACAGTGTTGTTCACACTTACTATATATACCCTTTATATTGTAGGTCTAACACAGTGCATTATATATTCCTAATGCTGTGTGCTTGTCTTCCTGCCTCTTGAGGAGGCTTCACTGCTGCTTTAAATATGTATATTGCAAAGCTTATTATAGGACTTCAGGACTGACATGTCCAGAATCACTATTACTAAAATTGTCACCTGCCTAAGCCAAGGATTAAACACAGCATGACAAATTGCAAAGGGCGATTCCAGGAGCAGAATCACGTGTGTGGTTATACCAGGAAACTTTTGACACCATCAGGGTGTGTTGTGATTCATTATGAGTCAAAGGTTACATACTTTCAGCGTTTTGAACAGACTGACTAATTCCTGTACCACTTCATTTCTTTGACCTACTATTGATTGTACAGAGAGTTTGTCTTGTTTTAAAGATCTGAGAATAACTGGTTGCACAGCACCAGCCCACTAAGCTGTGTGAGATCCATCCGATGGAATATATTGATTAAAATACTAACTTAATTCTGGAGACATAAATTCTCCTGTTGGCTTTGCTGCAGAGTTCTTGGCTGGTCTTGGGAGTGAGGGTTAAATAATTATTTAATAGCCGCTTCTATCTCAAGACACACACACACCTGTTTTGTAGAAGTGATGAATGATTTTTGAACACTCCTGTGTTTGGATGTGCAGCTTAATTTATTTGAGTAGGACCTGATTTTGGAGGGGAGGGGAAGTTGTTGGTACTTCAGAGAACCTGAAATGGTGCACCAAGAAATCTAAGGCATGCCCAATGGGGGTGCTTTGCAAAATGAGGTGTGAACATTGTGAGAGGTACATTGGAAATTCAGATTCAAATCTTGCTGGTGCTATGGCTTGGCAGTTAAACTACCTAATATCTGCATTTCTGAGATGAAAGCTTTGTAAAAGTAAAGGGATGGCTAATAGGCTGTGGCTCAGGAGGAACTGTGTTAACAAGCAGGGATGTGAAATCACTTAGGATTTCATAGTTCTAATTTTCTTCTTCTGTCTATAGCCCCATGTTCAGTCTCCTGCAGATGTCTGCTCAGTAGACTAAATCACTAACTAGGGTGTACAGTGGCTCTGAGTGGGACCCAAGTCCAGAGAAAATGAGAACTCAGTTTAGTGATAAGAGGGATGGAGAGGAGGAAGCATATTCTAGATCACACTAGGAAAAAAATCCCAAAATTTTCCTGTCATTTTATGATAACATTAAAGCTCAATAATATATAACATTATTATATTAATATATAATATGATAATACTAAAGTGGGCAGGAGCCCTCATTTGTTTTTCAGGAACAGTCCTGCCATGGAGGCCCTTTCCATGGACTCTGCAGCACATATGAGTGGGTGCTGATATGTAGCAGCTGCTTACTTATTATAAGGCCTCGCTGCCTTCACTCTGTCATTGCCTTGACTTGCATTCTTAGTGATTCTGTTTCAGTATCCATCCAGGCTGAGCTGTGTGTCAGTTCACACAGAGCCTGTTTTTAATTATCTCCCTTTTCTGACAGGATCTCAGTGTTAAGCCAAACTGAATAATTATTGTGCTTCTTTGGAGATATTTTTATCTTTTTTTTCTCCCCAAATGTTTGCTTTCACATTAAAAATTGATCAGAGTCTTGAGTTGGTTGCTTTGCTAGCAATTTCTTACATTCTTGAGGATTTATTACTGCATTTGAATGAGAAGCAAAGTCTCTTCGTTTTACATAGGGCTACAAGAATGTGCTTTTCCATGAGAAAATGTTCACTCTTCACCTAATCCTTCCTGGTATATTTTATGTTTGTTTCTTCAGTTCATCAGAAGAGGGACCATAAAGAGAAATATGGTAGTGGTATTAATGCTGTGACTGGAATGGTGTCCAGATGGATGGTCAAGTTTGTAATTAGAAGTGGAGCCTGTTGGTATCCAGACTGATAGGTGTGGTGGACAGCAGGACAGATGAAGTCGTTCAGTCTGAAACAGAGAAAACCAAACTGAGAATATTAGACATTGTGCTATGTTAATTATCTTAAACTATTAGGCAATTAGATTTTATTGTTGATTTGAGAGCAAAAAGAGCAGTTGTGGGACAGAGAGCGAGATGTGATTCTGGCCTGCTGAAATACTGAGGATTAGCTGGAGGAAGGGGATGGAGAAACTTGTGATGCATGTGATGCACCAGTATCCCTTTAGAATCTCTGAACTATTCCCAGTTAGGTACATCAGCCTCTGGGCTTAGAGGCAGTTGAAGTGTTGCTTGAGAATTGCAAATGCATTGAATGAATGTTTTGTGAAAAGATGTTTTTCCATTGCTCATGTGGTGTCCGTTTTGCATATTCATGTGAATTCATTCTAGTGGTGGTGGTTGCCTGCTTTGCTCCCAAGGCTTCTGTGAGCGCTTCTGGTGAGTGAAGTAGGATATGTGAAATCTGATACTTTTGTTCAGAAGAGGGTGGGAGCATTTACAGTGATAGTTGGAGAAATGGCTTGGCAAATCTTGCTTTGGTTGCTCTGGTGTGGTTCTAGTTATCTCACGTTGGCTTGTGGGAAGCAGTTTAACTCTCTTCTCAAAGAAAACCACAGAGAGCTCACAGCATGCTCCCAACAGATGACAAAGCAATATCTGAGGAACTGAAGCAGTCTGTGTAGATAAATGGGAGGCTGAAGGACAGAGCAGGACAGATGGAGGTGGAGAAGAGTAAATCATCTACCCATACCTTTCCCTCTCCACAACTGATTATTTTCTTCTACTTCCTTAGCTGTCATTCCAGTGTCATAGCTCTGCCCTACTTTCAAACAAACCCTGCTTTTCCCTGTGGTTTTTTCCCTCTGCTTCCTTCCTACTCTGTTAGATGTATCCCAAACACAGAACCCTGTGTTCTCAGTAACCTCCTCAGTTATGAACTTCCAAGCACATTGTAAAGAGCTCATTTCCCACCACTCCTCAAAACTTGAATCCTTTGTTCCCTTATCTCATATACCTGTCTTAATTTTTCCATGCTCTTTATCCTTTCATTTCATTAGACTGTGGAGAAGCTACTGAGATCATGACCAGAATGTTTGTAAAAATTTGGAAACAAAGGGGACAAGAAACAAATACTGTTTTTTTCAGTTTTCTCCTTTCCCTGATTGAAATCAGGAGATGAGAATCCAGTCCTCTGCACTTGGATTCCTCCTGAATACCACCTTACAAAACACTGATCTTCCTACCTTTCTATCCTTATTACAAGGAAAACTCTGAATGTGAAAAAAGCTTGATTAGCTAAATAGTCAAATGCTCTGCAAGCATCACAAGCCTGTTCCAAGAAAGAGTTCTTAGTACCTAATCAAATAGCTGCTAAATACAAAGAAGGCAGTTTAGAGGTTGTGGTTCTTTAAAAATGGGACAAGCTTCTGGTGTTTGGGTTTTGTTTAAAGCTCATGGATACTGGTTAGTTCATACATAACAGATACGATTTGTGAATTACTAAATGAAGAAAAATGTGTAACAAAATTCACATAAAAGAGGACCTGAAGTCCTCTTTTTCTTGAAAGTATCTGGAGCTTTTGCTAGTAACTTTAGTTGAGCTGAGATATCTCACCATCTGCTTCATTTCTTTCTTCCCATCCAGGTGAAGCCAAAAGGGAACTCCAGTTCCAAAAGGATTCACAATTTTTTTAAGGAAGCAATAAAGATGCTACAAGAAAAAGGAGTGGTTTTCCAGAAACCTGGTAGCTCTAAGGACTTATACCACGTAAGGAACTGAGCTGTGGTTGTAAACAAGTTCAGGGGGATGACTTTCACAGTCAGTAGAAACAGTAGAAATATCCAGAGAAAGTAGAAATGTTTCAGAAAGAGATGCTGGACATCCAAGTGCTCTCCATTTACTCAAAAGTCTTATCTGCAGCACAGCTGGTTTTACCTTTGTGTAACCCACTGAATTGTTGTTCCAAGTTCTGTGTTCACTGGGTTACCAAACTGCGCTGACACAGCTGAGCTCACTGAAACCTGGGACAGTTCTTATTGAAGTGTGTTAAAGCATGGTGTTCTACTGAGTCAGCCTTTGGGTTGAATTCTGTTGTATCATATTCTTCACCTAACTTATGGATGCTGCTAATAGTAGTCAAATAATAACTGAAGATTTGATGTTTATTATTAGTCTTGTAGGCAGTATATGATGCAGACTGTAGTTATGACAGTGTTAGCTTAGAATACATCATGTCCTTGGATTGCTTCTCAACAGGCAGGCCATGTACTGTGAAAGAGACTGCTATAAATCACCAATATCTTCTTTTTTCTGCAGGTGACTGACCATGACAAGGAATTGCTTAAAGTGACCCTTGATGTGATTAAAGAAGACTGTAGAAAACCCAGGCGTAAGTATTAGAGTGATCAGGGCTCTGAGGAGCTGGTGCTGATATACTGATGACAGTATCTCCTCCTGCTGCTGGATTAGATATGCTGTTTGTCCTTACCTCTGGACTTGGAGCTGTTGCTGGTGTAGACCCTCAGTACAGCTGAAAGCAGGAGCTGAAAGCAGCAGCTCCCTGTGAGTGTGGAGAGAGGAAGAGCTGGTATGCCCATCAGGAAGCAAACCTCTCAGATCTGAAATAAGCAGCCTTTATCTTAGATCTATATCTTTAGAGAATACTTAGATTTTGGGAGGAACCAAAGTTAGGTCACCACCTAGCAGCTGTTGCATTGCGCTCTGCAGAAGTAGCAAATCTTGCTGGTTCAGTTTCTTCAGGGGAGTTGACACAAAAGTGACCATGTGGAAAGGTGAAGTCCCTGCCTCCATTAAGTCAACAATAAAACCTGCTTAAGTCAGTATTATATTCTCTGTAGATGTTAAGCTCAGGTAGGGCTCAGGTGGTTGTTCTTTGCAGGTAGGGATTTCAGTCAAACAAAGTGCACTTATTTTCAGATAATGTACCTCAAGTGGCTTCTGAGTTATCCCTGTCCCTCAAGCCTATTGTGTCTTATTGCCATAGTGATAACTTGTACTTGACTGGAATGTTTGCTAATTGCACAGGTACATTGCTACAGAGTGTCTTTCAGTTCATTTGGCCGACTGTGTCAGCAGGGATCACTTGCTGCTGGAGTGCAGCTATTTGTGGGATAGAACACGCTTTAGTACAGAATAATGACTGAGTAGAACATAAGGCATTAATCTTAAATTGCTCATGTCCTTATACTAACATAATGGTGCTTGTAGGACCTGGTATACAATGGTTATCCTGCAGTGAGGAAAGGCTAAGTGAAGCAGTATTGTGTTGGAGTTTTCAACTGGCTACCTTAAAAAATGGTACAGTTGTAGACAAGGTTTGGGGTGGAGGTGAAAGTTCTTTGTATCTTAGGGGGATGGAGGGAGTTGACGTTACTGGGCATGCAGGTTAAGATGGACTCATTTGTCTTAGCCTGTTTCAATGCAACAAATTACCATATAACATTGTTTTATTATCTTTTATCCAATTAACAAATACAAACATCATTAAGAGTCAAATCATTCCTCTGCCCATTTTATACATCATCTAGTTCTGGTAACCTGTTTTGGTTTTTTTGTTTTTTGGTTTTTTTTTTTTTTAAATATATCTGTGCCACTGTCAAGGCCAGAACCTGTATACAGTTGGCACAGGGTACTGGGTGCTCTCCTCTTGTGCATTGTCACACTAGTAAAGTACTCTGTGATCCATGAGACCTTGGGAAGTTCTTTCAGTCTGGAGGAGTCAACAGCAGAGAGGAATTTGTAGATCAGTCACAGAAAAGACTTTGAAGAGTCCTGAGTCCTCAAAGCCATGTTTTCCATACTAAGCAGGTTAAAATTAGCAACTGCTTAACAGAGCCTCTTGTTCTCCTTGAAGTTTTCCCCCTACTTAGTTTCCTGCTGTAAAGAGGACAATTTCCAGGTCAGTGTCCCTTTGCTGGTTTTCAGAAGGACCCTTTCAGTGACCTGGTCACTAGTGATAGAAGAAAAGCCAAGAAGTTTCAGTCGAAACCAACAGGGCACTGCGGCATTTGTTGTCTCTGAATGATGCAAGAGTGTGGAGCTCAGTGTGGCTGCCGGCCCCCCTCTGGCGGCAGGAGGGCAATCCCAGCTGGGCTTCCAGGGAGAAAATAAGGACACGGGTATATTTTGCTTGTTTGTTGCAATGAGTTCCTACCTGTTTTCCTTCAGGAGTAGTAGTAATCTTCCATGACAAGAAGACTGATTTATGATAAACCAAACTCTTCTCTCCAGTGAGTTACTCCTCTACCAGTTTTCCAGGCAACGCCTCACTCCATTGCTTTAGTTGTGACACGTTCTCAGGCCCAACCCAGCTGTCTGGAACTACTGTACAAATAATAATAAAAAAAATCTTAAGTGTGCCTACTGAGAGCTCCACAAACCCTGATCCATAATGTACCTACGTGACAATCCTAATTCTTGGCTCCACTTATAATTCCAAACAGCCTGATCTTAAATGCCCTCAGCATGAGGCCACTGTGGGTCCATCTAGAAGCTTAAGACAGCCAGACAGGAGACAGTGCATTTTGACTCAGATTGAACTGCAAAATGGATTTTTATTATTTTTTTTTAATCTAAATTTGCCCTGGTTTTAGGTTTAGATCAGGCTGATAGTAGAGAGGACAAAAAAAACCAGAACCACTTGAAGTTAAATTTAATATGTCAGAATGTACCCTGTGTGAGATGTCCACAGTGGGCAAATGATAGTTGTTTGGTTACTCTGTCCCCTCTGATGTTGGTAGTCAGGCACAACAGTTAATGACAACCTGGCTTACCTCAGCTGCTGGACAAAAGTTGGAAACTGAGATGTCAGTGAAAGAGGGACAGCATGACTCCACTGCGAGGAGTGCATTCCCTCAAAGCTGGGCTGTAGACTAGGAGTGTTTCTGAGTTACTTGATGACTGTACACACCTGCAGCTACCCCAAAGTGCCATCTAGGAGGAAAGTATGTATTGCACTGTTGGGTAACACTTGAGTCACTAATTAATTCATTGAAACTGAAGTTACTGTAGATCAGGGATGGGCACTTCGACCTCCTTATGACAAACCAATGACAAATGTAAAATGTGGTTACCCACCTTGTTTGCAACAACCATCACCATGACCAGCTAGAGGCATTGTTCTGTTCCCTGCAATTACCTCTCCTAGGGTGGTGGACACATTTTGGTGGCCAGCCACAAAGGCCTTTTATCATGCTGGATCACTGACTTCTAAAGAAGTATTTCTGCCTGATCCACAGTCTAACAGGAATTAGGCTGAACTATTTATTTACCACTCTCTACGAGTGAATTTTTTTCAGCAGCTTCTAAGGCAGTTCTGGGGCTCAGCAGATTCTAGAGTAGAGAATAACAAAAAAAAAAACGAAGGCAGCAACAACAAAATATAGGGACCTCCCTGGCCCATAGCAATTTCTCAGTACCCTTATCAAACTTGCCTTGCATCACGTGAGCTGAGGGCTGAGGAAAAGGAAAATAATTTGTGCTGATGTGTCTCATTTATGCTTGTTTTTCACTATTAGCCACCGAAGAGAAATGTGTTGTCAAGTTCAGCACTTGGAGAGACTGGGAGCCTGCAGCACGGATGATTAGTGTGTTACAGGGTCTGTGGGAGGAAATGTTGACTGCGACAGCTTCAAATGACAGCTTCAGATCACAGCTCCACCTGGTACACAGAAGCTGTGTGCAGCCATTGGGGACCTCTGTGCTTGCCCCCCTAGGAAAGGGGGTTATTTTAAAACTTCTGGTCTCTTGCACATTTCAGGGCTAATTCCTCTTAAAAGGAGATAAAATTTGATAATGAAGGTCTGAGACTTTCTACTCCCGTAATTGTCTGAGTAGTCTGAAGGGGCAGGGACGGATCGCACTGAGGTGAATGGAAGCTGCACTGCAGCAGTTTTTCCACAAGATGCCAGCGTTGGGCAAGCGGTTACAGGTCCTGGCCATGTACCTCCCACCTCCCTGCTGTGCTAGAGGGTTTTGAAGTTGGGTATGAACAAAATGATTCTCTTTTGGGTCCTTCTAAAGCTGCAGAAACTGGATAGCTTAGTACTCTTTATGTTACTGACCTCATTGTCGAATCTACTGAATGACTTGTAGGTTACAGTTGGCAAGACTGAGACTTTCACCCTCATTACTAACTACTGCTGCATCCCTGGCACTTCCCAGTGAAGTCAGTGGAGGCAGTTGATAATTGGAGAACTGTAGGCACAGACTGGATCTCTTCCCTCTGAATACACACACCTCCACTTTAGTATCTAGGGTGTTCTTTTTCTCCAACAGCTGTGGGTTTTTTCATGACTGATCTGGATTATAATAGTTCAAAGGAGGCAGACCGAAGTCTTTCCTCCGTGCCTGGCTGAATTTTCCTTTTTTTTTCCTGCAGATGCTGACAAAGGCTGCCATTTCCTTCATGTCCTAAATTGTGTTCGGCAGAGCTACAACCCCTCCCTGGCTGAAGTGGTGATGCACCGTGTCTTGGAACTGCTGGAGAGTAACAGTGATGTTGTCAGCACTATGGAAGGATATTATATGGCATTTTGAAGAGAAAAGACAAGATACATTCATTCTGGCCCATTCAGGAGGAGAGAAGGAGATGTTGAGTGACTCTGAAAAGCTGTTATTAGCTGATATGATCTAGATAGGGGATAAAAAAGAGCCTTCTGATTCTCCAGATGCTGGTTTTGTCCAGCTTCAGAGAAGTTGTTTAAATGCTCGTTATTCCTTGTGACTTCCTTGCTATTCCTAGTGAGAGTTGTATCAGACCGATTCTGGACATTCTAATACAGCAGGGGAGCTGGAAAAGAAACTGGGCTCTTTCCTTGGAGTAAGATGAGACATTGGCCATCCTCATATTTACATCCAGTGGGCTGTAAAGAAAAGTCACTGATAAGGAGCACTGTTTACAGCATGTCAGGACTCATTTTTCTGGCTTAATGACTGAGCTTGTGAGCTTTCATTTGATAGTAGCTGGGGATCTTTCCTTTTATGTAGACTTTATAACAGCTAGAGAAAGGACACACAAAAAAAGATTTGCCTGATCTTCCTGGCAGTGCCAGTGTACCTTTGTCTGTAAACACTTATTCTTCAGTCTGGACAGCCTCCCCACTACTAAAGCAGTCCCCACCTTTCTCTGGTAAGTAATATTCAGGAATGGGGTCCTGCATCCCTTCCCCATCCAGCAGCCTTGTCCACTGGTTGTCAAGCATGCCTGCATTCCCCTGGCTACCATGTGTGCTGCTGCTGCCTGTTGTTGTGGATTTTGTTCAGACCAGAATTCTCAAAATCAGTCACCATTTTGCCCTTTATTTTTTTTTCAAGTTGCTTCCTACATCATAAATGGTAAAACATAAACTACATGCTTTGGAAAAGAAAATATAAAAGCCATCAAGACCCACTGTAATCTCCATGCTGCCTGTTGCCTTTTCTCTTTTATTCTTTGTCACCTTTGGGGTAAAATGGTACCCATATCTGTGCTTGCTGAGGAACACAAGACACAGACCTAAATGCTGGCCTAAAGAAGGTTACCATGCAAGATGTTTGATCTGGAATAATGACAACTCTGTTATGTGAAACAGTTCAAAAACCGGAGCTGTTCAGTATTTTTCCTTGGAGAGGGCTTGCTGCTGCAGGGGCTTGTCTGTTCAATTAATCTGTTTAATTAATCGTGTAGAAGTGAGACCTTTAGCTTGAAAAGAGTAGAGAAGATTAAATGTATCCTTTTTTCTTCTGCACCTTCCCTGTAACAGTTGAAATAGCAGACTCCCAGGAGGCAGATGTAGTGGTAAAGCCCTATAAGGATTGACATAGCTGGGAAAAATAAACCATATGCATGAGGAAAGCCAGTGAGGAGCCCCATGTGTGCCAGGTCTCTGGTTTGTTATATTATATGCCTCATTCCAAGCCCTGGCTGTAGTGAGATATAGGCTAAGAGAAAGGCATGACAAAATATTTGGCATTAGCATTCAGAGGCCTGTGGAAAACTCTGGCCTTAAAGAGATGGTAAGTTTGTTCATAGGAGAAAACTATGTATGAATCATTCATTTGCTGTAAGTTCCCTACTTGGTGCAGGGCTCAGTAGCTGTTTTCCCTGCAGGCTGCCCTGCTCCTCACATTGCTGCTCTGAGTTGGGTACCTTCTAGTCAGATCTTAATATGGGCCCTGAACAGGTCCTGAAGGGCTGTAGCTGTGCAGAAGGAAATAGAAGACGGTTAAGGAAGAATTGCAGAGTGTTTGTTCCCCACCCTCTACCCCCATAAATATCTCTGTAAATCAGGAAAAGAAGGCAGATTCTGAGTGCACTGGTATTGAGGGAAATTGCAAGTTTAATTTATGCCTCTGAGAAGGTCTGGTTGGCCACTGGGGAGATTTGCTTTTTAAATTCCTGCTCTGATTACTGATGAGTTTGAAGTGATGCTTAAAACCAAAGGCTATCTATGGAAGAAGTAGCTTGGAATATTAATACCTAAATTCAAATTCACTTCAGGAGTTTTCCATAATCAAGCACTACATATGGATAAGTTGCCTATCAGGCATGAGCTTGAGGATATTTTTAAGGAAAGTACATGGTGTTTTGGACCACGTGAAAGAGCATGGCATCTAATTTAAGAGAGTGGCTTGGCCATTTTCTTGAAAAGTTCTGCATTAGCAGAAGCTCCTTTTGCTGGGAAAGGGTTAAAGGAATGCTTCTAGCTCAGTAGGAAAGGTGATCTTCTCTCTTAGGTTAGACGAAAGACCTTGGTTCTCCTGAGGGTGTCAGCCAAGTGTGTGGGCTGGATGAGTTTTGGGAGGAAAAGAAAGTCTGGAGATCATGTTGCTCTTTAGGATCCCTTTAAAATGAATTCATACCAAAATAGGATTACATCTGCGTGTTTTGCAGTTTGTATAGTCACACATGCAACTTCTGTTGCCTCTGAGTTCGAGGCTGCACTTCCTGTGTTTTAGATGTGTTTCTTTGTGTAAAGTTTGCCTAAAATCCCTGTCCACTGATTTTCTATGCTTGGAGGTAGAGAGAGCAGACACTTGTGTCTGCATCTGTCCTGCCCCGGTTGCAATTTAAAAGCACTGATCAACTGCAAAGCCTTGGAGATGAGGTGAGAGGAACTTATCTCAGGAAAACAGACAGGTTACTCTGGATAGAACCTGTCCTTGGAAGTTTTTAAGTTGATCCTTGCTGGCAGTGCTCTACTCTTGTGATGGAGGGAGTATTCTGTTGGAGGTTGCTCCCCAAGAACAGGAAAAAGGATTTTTCTCACTCGAGTTGACTCAGGAAAGTAAGATGAATGAACACAGGGGAGCCTACAGTTTTTACAAGAGTGAAAGGTTGAGGCAGAGGTAATAGAGGAACCTAAACTTGAGCTACACAGATTCTACTTCTGAATAGCTGTACGGAATGGTTGTGTTTTAAGCTTGCATGCTTTATTTTTTCCACGGTAGCCACCCAACACAGACTCACACTTACTCTGATTGAGAGCATTCCCTCTCATACCCACAGGGAATACCACATGCATATGCCTGCACAGGGGTACCCCAGTGAGCTGTGGGAGCACAGAGCTCTCTGTAGGCTGATTTACCCATTCACTCAGTATCTCTACAGTGTGCTTCTGTGACAGCAGTCTAGACATACCCATACTGGTATAAGTCACCTTTATGTAAGTCTAACTACACACACTAGGGCTTTTACTGCTAATAAACTGTCTCTCTGTTTCAAGATCATATCCTTAACCAAGAGAGTCATATCATGCACACTGTTAAAATTCTTAGACCACACCTACAAAATATTGTGCAGAACATTCAGTGAAAGCACGCTTTCTTCTTTTGTTTAATTGGAAAACTCGTTAAGCAACACAATTATTAGTGGTTTATTAAAGGACTTTGAAGGTGGCACTTTAATGTAAAACTGACAAGTGAGAATTCATGTTGTAGGACTGCTTCATGACCAGTTCTGGTTTCCATAGAAACAGTCACAGCAGTAAAAGGCAGGTAAGTAAAATTGAGTTTTTAAAAGCAGTCGGCATTTTTATGTTACTTTAAAAAGATAAGTTTCCAAAGAAATGCAGCACCTGGGAATAAAAATTACCAAAGAATCTCAATATTCTATTCTAGCAAAATGCAAGGTAGTTGCTTTGCTGGTGAGAAAACAAAGGAACAGTCCCCACCCTCTGCTTAGGTGAGAGAAAAGATGAGGTTGCTTCATGCCTCTGTTTCCCTCTTTTGTAAGTTGGGGATAATACAGCTTCCTGTGCAGGGTGTAAGCCTCAATTTTTCTTAATCCTAGTCATTAAAAGAACTCTGTGGCTGTGTGGGAGAGAGTGAATGGATAGATGCTGGAGCGAGACTTAGAAAAAGTAGCTCTCGGATTAGAACTAATAGCTTTATATTTTTCTGCCTCTCTTTCCATGCATATTGGTTTGCCTGTCTTGTCATCTTGCTCTCCAGGTCATATGAGGCAGTGATGGTCTCCCTATCTTTATTTGTGTCGTATTTCTCACGGAATCCTATTCCCTGTTACGACTTCTTAGATGACTTCATAAAAACAGAAATCCAGATAAATTAGTTCTTAGCATTCTTTTTTTCAGATTTTTGGATTGTAAATTTATACCCATGAGGGTATGCATTTTACACAAGCTACCTGGGAAATGAAGCTTTACTTTCAGAATAATAAATGAAAAAGTTAAAAATTGGCTACATGACTAAAAGCTGTTACTGTTGTGGATCTGTGCATACTTGTGTATTCCAGTGATGAACAGCATAAATAGAAAGAGCTGCTAATTCATTATTCAGAATGAGAATTCATCAATGAGCAGCCAGCGAGGCATGGAGCCACATGGAGAATTATGAGACAAAGTACTGAAAATCTGTTTGTCAAAGAAATGCAGTTTGGCTTACTTTGGGAGTAAGCCGATCCTGTGGGGAAAAGATGTGCCTAGCAAAGATTTGTATCTTTATACTTACCTCTAAATGGGAAGGGAGCAAGTTCAGATCCCATGGGCAACCTGAATTTTGAAACTTCCTGTCAGTGCGGCGCTTCGTTCTTTATTGCCGTCTTTCAGCGCAGTCCCCAGTCCTGCTGCCCCAACCCTCCAGGCTAGTGAGCAAACAAAAGTTCAGCCACAAAGATAAAAGAATAGTTATAATAATTGATTACCATCCTCAAGGAGCCCCAGCATTACAACAACATTTTTGTGGATGCTTGTTGGCAGCAGGGAAATGCTGAGCCAGGGATCTTGAGTTTCATTCCCAGCAATCTGCCTTGCCAGGCACAGAGGCTTTCCCCCTAATTTCTTTCAACTATTTCTGCCCTCCACTCTCTCCTCTGACTCATTTCTCAGGCCCTTCATTTCATTCACAGTCGCTCAGCACCACAGGTCGTGTCAAACCCCCTTCCTCTTGATTTTGTTCCCTTTATCTTTTCTATCTCAAACGTCCTTGACAACATCTGGTGATTGAAAGTTTCAGTATAATCCCCTTGCCTAACTGACCTAGCACTGCTCACTGCCCCTTCTGATTCCAGCAGGCTGTCCTTTGCTCCTTGTCTAGGCACCAGAAGCTTTCTTCCCCATGTAGTTTGCAGCAGGAAAGAGCTACAGTTTCTGGAAAACACCATTTTTTCCACCCCACCCTCCCAAAGATCCAGTAGCACCCTCAAAGATTCTAGTGGCGGTTTTCTTGCAGGCATCCAAGTACAAAGTAAATATAATTAAAATATAAACCACTCTTGTCTTGCCCAAACCTGAGCAAGCACAAGTCACGCCCCTGATAGAAGCTATCTGCCTCTCCCTGCCACTTTCATGTCCCTGCAGATCTTATTGCAGATATGATCTGTAAAGTTGATGTGGACTTTTAGGTTGTGTATCTGGCAGTTAGTGTGTCTCCTTTCAGCCTGTTTGTTTGGGTTTCTTTTCTGAGAAGGTGATATTTTACTCTGATGTGATTATACTGTGTGTCTCAGCATTTGTCAACTTCTGTCCCACCACCCCAGTTGATTTTGGCTAGTTAAGACAGGTGAAGGATCCTGAGCTGTTACTGTCTGGCATGTTTTAAGGAGTTGAATGCACTGATAGAGGAGGGAAGCCAAAATCAGCTCCTCTGTTAAGGAGAAGGAAGAAAGTCAGTCATACAACACCAGGGAAACCACACATGAGACAGTCCCAAGGAACCTGTTTTTGTAGCTTCAGCTGCCACAAGAAGTACTTGCTCTGCAGTGCTCTTTTAAGAAATGACTGGACTGTTTTTCCTGAAGTTTCCTCATACAGGTTGCCCCAAGGCAGACAGTCATGATGGCAGACTGCAAATCAAACAGTTAAAATCTGGTAAAGCTGTAGCATCTACACTGGGGTACAAAGTTGAGCAACTGATTGTTAATGATGCCACCAGTCCATTCCCACTAATATCGTTTAAACGTGCAATGCAGACTATTCTGATCTAATCACAGTAATTTACAAGTTGAAACCAGCCCAGCTGAACAAGATTGCCTGAGAATAGTATAACCAGGAATTTGCCAGTGAAAGAAATAACCTAAAGGAATGATTTTCAGCAAGTGTTGAACTACTGAACACTGCAGTGCCAATTAACCTGGCACAACATGTCCTACAGCTCTTGTTTTAGCTTGTTTTTTTGTTATTGATTGGAAGAATGAACACTCCTTCCCTACCAGCTAGAACTGGATCTCTCTGCCACCTTCACATCTCTCTTCTGGGAACAAGGTAAGATAAATCACAAATGTTTGTCACTGCGTAGCAGCCAACATGATTAAATGCAGTATGTGCCAAGTCTGTTATTGACCTGAAAAGTTCGTGGTTCCTCCCAGGAGTGGGGACCTCATCCAAATATTACAGTGATCTTTGGAAATAGGAGGGAGGAATCTTCCCTCAAATATTTTCCCCAACGGTGAAGTCACGCAAGCCCTGCAGGCCTACCTGATTCTAACATGTGCTCTTCTTGGCAAGGAATGAAGGTGGTAGAGAAATGAAAAGGGTGCTTGGGGTTGTGTTTTTCTCTTATTGCCAAAACTGGTCACTCACACTGAGAGTGTAGAGGTTGCCCTTGCATTCATGTAAAACTCTGCTTTTCTGTAACGCCCACAAAAAACCCTCTGAGCTGTAACAAGCCAGCTGGTGTTCTGAAACTATTGCCTACACTTCTGGCTAATATTCTGTCATTATTTTCTTTCCCCACCTTGTCTTTTTTTCCCCAATAGCATCTCTTGAACTTAATTCCTGGTTCAAAGTAGTTATAGACTCTTTCTTTGTCCTTCTGTGAGTACAGCAATCCAGGACAAAGAAGAGGAGCAAACTGATACAGGAAAGAATTTTTGTTGGAACTCTGAACATAGGAAAGGATGAGAAATACAAAGGAAACTGAAGGAGGAGGATTTAGCTCAAAGATGTTTGAAATTAATCCCATTGAAAAAGGCTAAAGAAATAATTGCCTAATGATGCTGTAGACATCTGTTTCAGAACAGACAGCAGGTGTTGCATGTAATGAAACTATTTTTGTTGGTACTACTTTATTTTCTGCAATTAGAAAGCAGGAGAGGAAATGAGGTCAGGAAAAACGGAGTAAGAGAACATTTACCATTAACAGCTAGACAAATTTATGTAGAGCACAGTAGTATTTATATGTTCTTCCTCTGCCTTCCTTACACTATCCTTGGAACAGTTCTGCTCTTCTGCAGGATATATTGTACTTCCTAAAAGACCAGCACCTTGGATGCTCAGAGTTAGAAGCTAAAGTGAAATTTGGCCACCAACATGGCTTTGAGGATCAAAATGTTCAGGGTAATGTAACTGTCACTTACCTAGATGATGTTATTAACTGATAGAAACAATCCTAAAGGTGAAGCTGCCTTTGCCTCAGTCACTAGAGCAGTGGCTGAGAAAGACTCCCATCTGTCTTTAGGCTCCCATCCCTGGTGCTGCATGGTCATAGCTTAACAGTTCTGGATCCAAATAAATGCCTGGAATTTTGTGGATGGTGTGTCTACTGCTCAAAACTGAAAATCACACCCGCATCAGGCTCTGCTAGAGAAACTGTAGCTCCACTTTACACAAGACATTATCTTTGGGATGATCTCATTCCTTGTTAAAGCAATTAAAGTCCTACAGGGCATTTGGTTTCTAAGCATCCCCACCACTGCCCTACAATGTCTAACCCCAGTCTAATGTCTGGGGCAGAAAAAAAAAGCAAATTGTTTTTGTCTACCCATGGGATTGATGTTGCTGTTGAGGAGATCCAAAAGTGCTCTTTGTAAGGAAGTCTTTCAGCTGGGAAAACCACTTTGCTTTTGCATGAAGGTAACAAAACAAAATCAATGCATTCCACTGCTGAGTGGTAGAAGTTGCATGTTACTTCTTTCTTCTTAGAGTGCCAAGCTTGTGTGTTCATCACTTACGTTCAAACCGCTGTTCCATGAGTAACTTTTCATAAGGTTTTATTTGTACATTTTTACAGTTCACAGTCTGTCAGTCAAATGTTTTCTGGTTTGGATATTGGCAGATAAATTCTTCTACTTCCTCTAGGGACTGTGCAGCCAAATAAAATTACTGTTTGGTTTCAGAGGGGGTTGAATGAGTAAAAATAGTGAACAAGGAAATTCAAGTTTTAAGAGGGGCTGGTGGGTATTTTAAATCTGGTAATATGGAGGACTTGGTGTCCATGTATATGTACATAGAGGTAACATGGGAAGAAAATGCAAAGAACAACAGAAACCTGGGGAATCCCAGTCCAAACCTGTGATCGGTTTGTGAAACTTCAGCTGTCTCAAGTGTAAGCCTGACATGTGTATCACACATCAGTTGTGGCTTGGGCTTGCTTTATTTTTTTAAGCACATCAACAGATATATACAGATCTATACAAAGCCCAGACACATAACCCACAACACCTTCCTAACAATGGAAAAGTACAAGGTGTGCATGGATGAATAACAGTGTGCAATTCGCTGCTACTGCCCTGAAGAGCATGCAGAGCACATACTGTGGCTGGAAATCCTTCATCCACAAATGGTAAGAGAGGACTGAAAAATAATGTTAGTCATGAAAGGGTTAAACTGTAAGATAGCTGCTTCAAGAAAAGGATAATCTATAATTTAAGTCCAGAGAGTGAAGCAGCTCTTTCATAATGTAAGTAAAAGCTGTTATGCCGTTGGGAAAGCATATACACTGCTTGCAGAAGGAATGATTATTTTGGTTTTTCCATTATACTAAGTTGCACAGAGGGGCTGACAAAGCAGCACTCTCTGGTGAAGAGGCTGGGAGGGGAAGGGGCACAATACTGTGCTCGAGGAGGAAGGGGGAGTTGCTCTGCCAGCACTGCTGCTGGTTCCTTTGGCTGCTTTCTACCATATTAGCTGGGCCTATTTATCTCCAAAGTGAATTTCATTTGAAAAGCAGCAATCTCCCAAGAAGATGAAATGCAATTGGCTTTTTAAAAAAAGTAAAAAAAAAAAAAAAAAAAAAAAAGATTGCATAGTGCTTTGTGTTTGTGTTTCAGAGTTTGAGATTTGAATGCCAGACAGGCTCTACTATTCCTGTCACTCCTATCAAAAGCCTTGTACGTGGAAACGCTGAAGTGGAAGGGAACTGCATGGAAAGCAGCCCTTTTAAGAAGCTGAGGTTTTGTAAGTACAGAAGCTGAGATGGGGCTGTAACAAAGGCTCTGTGTTGAGCTGTTGCACATCAGAGCCAAAAAAACCCTAAGGGGCACATCTCTAGTACCATGTCTAGCAGATTATGCATGCAACTCCAGTAATGATTGTGTGGCTAATCTGTCATGCACAGCACTGCACAGCTCCCCTTCCCCCAAAAGGCTGAGCTCAGGGCACTTTGCTTCCCCCCAGGGTGCTGAGCACCGTTAGTGGGACAGGAAAACCGTGTTTCACCTGGCTGCTCAGCCAGAAAACAGAAAGAAAAATCATCTTTAACAACAGCTCCAGCCACCAGAGACAGGACTGTCAGACCCTAGCATGGTTAGTATTCAAGGGGGTTTACTTATCTACACTGATATGCCATGAATTAAAAAGAGGCATTAGAAATGGCCCTGATGGAGCACAGAAAAGCCTGTCCCTTGTTTTATTTTCTCACTGATTTAACGATCCAAGTGTTTTCAATTTACAACTCAAATGCTTATTTACAAAAAATTTGCCAGCATAACAGAGTCCTCTTGAAATATGAAATCTCAAGTCATGCTCCAGCCCTGAGACCGTCACACACACACATTCTGTCACGCATCAGCTTTTGCTGTAATTGGAGCAGGGTCTAGGCTGCCAGGCTGTAGCTGCATTAGATCTGTGAGGCTAATGTGATTACCTGTATGTTAAAAAAAAAAAAAAAAAAAAAAAGGGCAAAAAAAGAATCTTTGCCCAAATACCCATGTAGCAAAAGAGTAGAAAAAAGCTTTTAAAAATAGGTGGTTTATCTCAGCCTTCAGAAGTCTGAATTTTCCAGGGTGTTCCTCAGCTGAATTTTATTGTATGAGTCTGTGAAGATGAATTATTAAATCAGCTGTTAAAATTTACATTAATATATGTATTAAAATCATCATAAAAGCAGTGATATTCCCATGGAATGATAGGGCTTCAGTAATGGAGTCCTTAAGAAAAAACATGTAAATACTTAGAATTTTAGCATTAAAGTCTGTAGAGTTAGTCACATTCCTATAAATCTGCAGTGGCTCAGCCTGCATGTTCACAGCTCGAGTTGGGTACAGGCTGTTCCACATGTGGGGTCAGCCAGGCAACAAGCCTGCCTTGCTCTTCGCTGCATACCCGGCCTTTCTTTCTTTCAGTCCCAGAAGCCGGAGCCTGGCTCTCCAGCACAAGGCTGGGAAGCGCCGTCAGGTTCAATTTCCCAGCTGCTGCCTAAGACAGGAGCAGATTTTTCCCAAGCCTGCAGCATAATAAGGGGGTTTGGTTATTTTTGTGCCAGTGTTGCAATACTCAGAGATTGGGCTCCCACTAGACTGGGTGTTGCACATATTTTAAGAGAACAATCCATGCCCCTAGCAACATACATTTTTCCTACATGGGTGGACGGATGCAGCAAACAACAAGGAGAGTGGCAGTGAACACAAAACCATGACATGATGGAGGAGGAGGGGGACAGAGCTGCACAAGGGCTGGGCAGGCTTTGCAGGTGGAGAGGGTTGTCTAGAATGGAGGAGAATCGAACTGTCTTGAATAGAGGGAAGGTGAACAGTGGACCAAACAGTGGACCAGGTGCTGTGAAAGAACAGGATAGACATCAAGGGAAAATAAACTCTAAGGCACTGATCTCAGGTTTGGCTGAAAATAGCAGCTCCTTCCTTAAAAGAGCAGTTGAGAAGGATATCAGTAAAAAGATGCCAATTAGTAAGAATGTCAGGAAGGATGGGGCAGTGTTTGGAGAATGATGTATTTTTTGTCTTTCACTCACAATGACATGTTTTGATAGCTGTTTTAAAACAAACCCTGAATGTTTTCAACAATGGAGGGGATCCTCTCTTCTTTTTTTGGAAAGGGTGATAGAAGAAGGGTATGGAATGTGTGATGTGTATTGATAATGGCTCACAGGGAAGAGGCATCCAAGACCCAAAAGACTGGCCACACCAAAAACATTTTTATCAATGGGTTATTTGAATATTTACATTTACAAGGAGGAATCTTCTGTTTGCTCTGCACACCAGGGACTTCTTGGCCAGTCTAAACAGTAAAGGTTTCTAATGTAAATAATTGTTCTGCTGCCTTCTGTCATGCATGGGGATTAGAGGTGGGAAGTCCCTCAAAGAAGAGGAGGGAGAAGGTGCCTTGAAGAAGAAAGGACAAACCTCAGACGTGACAATAGAAGTGGGCACTTGAGCTTTTTCCTTTTGTCACCCTCCCTGTTACGAAAAATTGGTCTAATGTATACCTGTACACATCCTAGGGTGGGATGCTGGGATTTTAGCATTTTATATCAGTTCATTAGTTTTAGAAAACTATGTATATTAGCCGAAGAGGGAGGAGAAGGCTGACTCAGAGCATCTGTCCCTGGCAATATGCAGCAGGTATCTGCCTAGTTCCCACCTGGCAGTAGTTGATAGCTTCTGTGCTGATGGGGCTACTCCAGCTTTTTTTTTTTTTTTTTTTTTGTACTTATAGAAACCAGCTGTGGTTTGAAAACAGCCACTTTTTAATGTCAGCCTGTTCGTGTACCTAAGACTTTGTGACTCTGGTGTCTTGTCTCACGATCATTGTTGCAGGGCTAGTAACATTGCAAAAGTTCTGATTCAGAAATTGTATCCATAGGGCATCCAATGAAATCGTATAGAGATGGGCTGTTCTCACGGTAAATAAGGAACTTATTTTGTCAGGAGCTGGGACTTCTCTGCACTCCTAGATTTGCAGGTCTGGAGTCATCAGCAGCACTCTGGAATCTTACTGGAAAATTTGCATGGGCCGCTGTTCAAGAGACTTCAGAGGAACAGGAGATCTTAGTGACCTCAGTTAATTTGGTGAATAGCTTATGGATGTCATAAAATGAGCTGAGGGCTGGAAGATCACATTGAAGTTCCTATCTCTGACATAAATTTTAAATAATCATATGTAAAATAATGACGTGTTATTGAAAAGAAAAAAGAACCTGAAGATGAAATTTCTGGGGCAAACTTTTCTTTCTGGGGTGTGACGGGGGAAAATGATGCTCATTTATCTGTATACTGTATATACAAAGGGCCGAAATGTGTTTATGGCTCTAAAAAGCCCTCACGACAGAGGTTCTGCGTGACCTCCCTCCAGCTCTGATCCCTCTGTGTCCCTGCGGGAGAGCGGAGTGGGGATCTCCCCAAGCGCTGGCCGGCCTTGAGGTCCCAGCTGGAGCCTGGTGGGCGCGGGTTCGGCCCTCCCCTCGCGGCTTTCCGGCGTGACCTTGGCCGGCCGCTCGGGGAGGGCACCTCGGGCACTTTCTGCAGTGACGGAGGGCCCTGGGGTGTCCCGGGCCGTCCCCCGCCCCTGGGGTGTCCCAGCAGAGAGCGGGGGTCCGAGAGCGGCTCCGGGAGGGAGCGGGACGCCCGGGGGCAGCCGCCAGCCCTCTCCGTGCGGCCCGGCCGCGCCCCCGGCACATGGGGGCGGTGGCTCCCGGTCCCCTCCCGCCCCGTCCCGTCGCGCCGGAGCCCCCCGGGACCGCCCGGGGGCGGAGCCGCCAGCCCGGCCCGGCCCCTCCCGCCGGCGCAGCGGCCGCGGAACCCCGGGCAGCGGGCAGGGAGCGGAGCCGGGCTGGGCTGCCCGGAGCGGGGGCTGCCGTGAGCTCGGAGCCGCCGCCGCCAAGGCGCGGGGCGGAGCCGGCACCGGGGCATCCTCCCTTCCCTGCCTGCCTCCCTCTCTCCCTGCCGCCCGCCCGGCATCGCCGCGGCGGGCAGCGCGGCCGGAGGGTGCTGCCAGCGCCGGGCGGGAGCGGCGGAGCGCCGCCGGGGGTGCGCGGAGATGCTGTCCTACAGCGTGCTGGACGCCAACGTGGTGGACGTGGAGAAGCGGAGGAACCCCTCGAAGCACTACGTGAGTGGCGGCGGGGCCCGGCCGAGCCCCGGCCCCTCGGGGGGCGGCCACACGTGTGCGGGTGGGACGGGACGGGGCCGGAGCGGTGCCCCGGGTGCCGTCCCTCGCCTGGCTTTGAGGGGGACACCCGGGCACCCGCCCCAGGTGAGGCGGCCGCGGGACTGCGGGCGCAGCGGGGACCCGCACGGCCGCCTGCTGTGGAGGTGCGGATCTTCCTCAGCCTCTTTCATCCCGTTTGGCTCTTGACTCGTTTTGGTGTTATGATTTTGAAGTTTCTTCTCCTCTGGAAGTGGATCTTCTCTTCTTCCTCGCAAGACCCATCGCAGGATGGGGGAGGTTTCCCAGGTCCCCGGGTTGTCCCCATCGTGGCCGGGGTGCTCGGTGTGGAGCGGAGCAGGGCTCGGATGCTGACGGGGTCAGGGAGCCGGCGGTGCTGAGCGCATCTTCGCTCCTTCTCAAACACAGATTACATTCAGACCTTTTTGAGGGGGCAGCCGGTCTGCAGGGTTATCAGGGCAGACTTGGTGTCTGAATCTCTTTCATCTCTCTTTCAACTTCCTCCTTTCACATCTAACTGCTAATAGCACGGCAGTAAAGGAGAGTTTTTAACAATCATCCCAGACGTCGGTATTGCAGCGTGTCATGTGGAGGTGTCTTTGCCTGAAGGAGTTTGCAGCACATACGGTCTAGTAGCTTTTGCCCTTCCACATAAGAAGAGAAGGTGTCTTTTCTTCTCTCTCTGGCTGTTTCTGGATTTTAGTTTCACCAAATACTTTAACTTTTCCTCAAGATACAATATATATTTTTAAACATAGAGAGTTGGATTTTGTTTATAGAGAAGGTAAATCTTCCAGCTTTGGTAAGGGAAAGCCTGAGGGGGTGTTATATCTGGTGTGATATTGCTCTGAGTATACTGTGTTTCCTGGCATTGCTTGTCTGCTAGATTTCTTTAGATCTAGTCAGAAGCTGAATGGATTGCTTGAAAGATAAGGGCAAAAACTGGAGTTAAACCTTTGTATTAGTGTTTCATACCACTGAGCTTTTTCCTCTAAGGCTTAGACCATAACCCAGTTTAAGGCTAGAGGGCACTATGTTGCTGGGAGATGCAGACTTGTAAAGCTGAAGGTCTCATTTACCATGGAATTAAGCATCTTGTGCCTAATTCATATAAGGAAGTTTTAGGTCTTGTGTCCTCTAAAGTTGCAGCTGGACCTGCTGTTCAGTCTTTTATGTACTCACCGCTTCCAGGTGGGAAAGGCTTCTTCAGCTTTTGCAAGCTGCTGCTGTGAATTCTGGCTGACACAGCTGCAGGCTATTATCTCACATGAAAGGTGACAGCAGAGAAGTAGGTCTGCCAAGCACCAAAATATAGAAAAGGACTGGTAACAACACTTTCCTTATTACCAAGGGAAATTGACACTGTTACTTTCTTGTTTGTTGGAAAATAACCAGCAAGCAGTGTTTTAAAATTCTGTATTTACAGGATTTGAAACAAAACATTTTCCATGTTTACCTGTAGAAACACTCTTTGTTGATCACTGTCACTGCATTTTAATAACAGTAACCTAAACAATTCCAAGAACCTCTCTTTAGTGCTTCTAGTGGGAAATCTTTATCTTTCCTTCCCCTTCTTACTGTACACCTTTTCTAATATTCTGTACCACACCTCCATGTGTCCAGTTCTTGGCCAAAAAATCAAACCAAATGGTTTGTTGGGTGACCGGAGGTGTGTCTGCCTTTTGTTCCGCTGACTCTCAATCTCTGGCTTTACAGTATTCAGCACAATAGGGTCTAGTTTACAAACAGATGTTGGAGTAATTAAGTTAAAAATAATAGTCTCTTCCATGTCCTTATGGAGTTCTTTCTTCTGCATGAGTAAATTAGCCCACAGGTCCAAAAGTCTTGGACTATTCTTCGTTTCCTCAATTGCAGTTTGATGCAGATGCACATGCTGCAGCTTTTCATCTCACTTTGGCTGGATTAACTCACTTAGGGTGAACCCATACTTTCAAGGAATTTAATTCCCTGGGTCTGATCCACTGATCACGGTTACTTTGGTTCTGTGCTCTTTTTTAACATGAAACAACTCTTTTCTTCTAAAATGAATATAAACATGGCTTGGGATTTAGCTCTCTCCATTGCCTATGGAGAGTGCAAAGCTTTGTGCTTTCTGTCCTACGTGGCTCTGAAATATCAAAAAGCCTTTCTACCTCCAACATTCGCTAAGGACTTTGTGCCATACCTTCAGGCCACGTGAATGAGCCTTGGCATCAGATTAATGATGTGTTTCTCTGGTGGATGGGGACCAGGGTACTGCAGGTGTTTCAACATGACTCTCTCTCCTTTTAATTGTGATCTGTCAGAACCATAGGGAAACCTGGAAATATGAAGGCACAGTCTTACCTTTGTGAGTGTTTGGAAAAGGCTAAATGTGAGTAACACATAAGCTCCTGCACTGCTTGGCTTACATGCAAGGAGTCATTGCCTGGAGCAGGTGTTTTCCATGATACGAGCACAGCTTTTGTGGCCTTGACTCAAGAAAGTAAAAGAAAGAAGACAGCTTTACATATCCTCTGCTATGATCCCATGAGTGTGAAACTTCTGAAGATATTAATAACTCACTGGAAGTTTTGTAGGGCTCTGCATGGGAGAAGAGATTAAAGTCTTAGATCCAGTGCTATTTGATAGGAGCCCAGCCAGCTCTCTACCATCTCCTGGGAAATCTCTACTAGGGAATGAGTCCACAATGCTTCCCTCTCCATCTCTGTCAGCAACTGGGTGGCACGACACCACCTGGTTGGCTGGGGGCCCTGGATAGTGGCCTGTGAAAGGATAAACAGAAGGCTGGGTCAATAACTACATGCTTCTTGAGTGGTACATCCCCAATGCAAGTACTGCTGCTCTTAGAGCTTTTGACTTACTAAATTAATTTCCTGCTCTTTCTCCATGCTGATGGTGTTTTAAAAATTGATTTGCACTTGCTAATACTTAAAAAAATGTTAAATCTCCTTGCTTTCCCCCTTCCCTTTTCTTTTAACAAGAACAATGTCAGGAAGGTCAAGTCTGGGTTTGTTGAAAAGACCCCTGTTGCAACAGGGGTCACACATTGGCTGAGCAGTGCTGTGGTGAAGCTGGGTGGATTAGGACAGTGCAGTTAATGGTTGAAGGTGCCAGTTAATCATTCTGAAGAGAAAAAGCTGGTAGCAAAATCCAAATCCCCTTTCCGGCCCCTGCTAAGCTTTAAACAGTCTGAAAGTCTCTCTTCTCAGTTGATGAGGCTTGATCTGTTTATGGGATAGCTTCTTTGGCTTTTAGTCTGAAATTGTGATTGTCTGAATTAAACATTAAATGGTCCCAAACCTCAAGTGCATTCTGTATTTAAAAGGACCCACTGTTGATGCTTGCCTCCTTTAACCATCCATTACGGAACTTAAAAAAAAGACAACTTCCCCTCCCCTCTCTCAGTTCCCAGGTTATCTGTAGGCAGATAGCTTGTCCTTTACCCAAATGTCTGACTCCTTTAGAAGCCCTGCAGGGAGCCTCTGCCTACCAGATGGGCTTGATCTTGCTCTCAGAGAGGGGAGATTGAGTTAGCACCTTCACCTGTTCACTGCTTTGCGGACCTGGGTGATGGCAAACATTCATTAGAAGCCAGATGAATAGGATCCCCCACCCCCCACCCCTGTGCTGAGGACTGAGTAGTTACTGATGTGCATTATCTCACCAGACGTTTCTATGCTTGAGGTCATTTCTAAGGTCTCTTAAGTGTGCCTGTGTTATCCCGGGGGCAGGGATGGATACATCAGTACAGATTTCCTCTTCCAGCACTACTCTACTCCATTTGCAGTTGGGCTTTGTGTGTTTTTCAGCTTTGTACAGCACGGAGGAAAGGTAAAACGCTCTTGGTTTCAAGTGGCTGCTCTGTCTCTTTCCAGTTAGACTGAGATGCACTGCTGATTTTAGTCATCTGAGATGCCTGTATACTGTCCCAGTTCCTCCCCAGGGTAATTGTTTCCTAATGCCCTCTCTGAATGTCTTGAAGTCTCTTGTAGGAATCTTTCTGCTGCATGGATATGGTTGCTAACTTCCTCGGGGCACTGGCATTGCTGACTTTTAAGGGATTGAGTTTTGCTGTGTTGAGTTTCAGCACTGCTCCCAGGAGAATGTGAGTGTGCTTGTCACAAATGACCTGTTGTAAAATGTCAGCATGCTTTGAAGAAAAATCTTGTGCTGTGAGGGTCAAATTCTGCTCCTTGTCTCTTGGCTGCTCTTGCTTACTGCTTAGACTCAGGAGCAACTCGGATGCAATCAGGCATCTTTATGGCTTTATTTCTCTGTATTGCAAACTGATGGTTTTACAAAGATATGGAGAAGCTGGACATGTCAGGGGTTTAGTGGCAAGGAGCTTTGTTCCTACCTGGGAGAAGGAGCTTTATTCCCCCTACTTGGGTCATCAAATGGCTGTGGCCCTGCTTGCAGGTCTGAGTTGAGGAGCCCCATGTGCCACTTGTGCTAGGAGTACCAGCAGCTTGAGGGTAAGGAAAGCTCAGCCTGTCTTTGACTATTTTAACTAGCAGAGCTGGGGACTGTTAATCAGGTTTCTTCCAGAATGAACAAGATGTGACATACCTGGAACTCCCATAGTTGGTGGCCTGTAGGTAGAGAGCAGTGAAGAACCTGATATGAATCAGAAGGCAGTGTTAGGTGAGTAGATTGAGTACCTATTTAGAAATTGTGATCCATTTTTTGCTCTTCCCTTCCCCCCATCAAGACATCCTGTGTGGCTTTCCTTCCAAGGGCCATGATCCAGCTTGACTCACTGGCCTAAATTATTATGATTATTATTACTATTATCTTTTCCTGGGGTGATGGGTAAGAGCCAGAAAATTAGCAGGCTGCTCTGTGACTTCATCATTTCTCAGAACTGAACTTCTGTGTGTTGGCAAGTGTTGTGTCAAAGGGAGTTGTAATCCCCTGTGTGCAGAACAGAGGAGAGCTCA